GAGTTATGTGCAACTCATAAAATAAATCGATTCCCCACTAGATGGAAACTACAAAACCTATATCAATCTCGAAATTTTATTTTATTAATACTGAGCTCATAGTCTCTCCAACACCGAGCATTACGAGCAGTATACTTCTAACACTTGTATTACATTTCTTGCCCTATTGAAGCCAAGCGAATGTTAATATGTATATTAGTCTTGCACTTTGTGTAATTTGTTAATTGGTTTGAGAGTACTTTTGTCATAATATAGTAAGCAGGTGCTTCGTATACTCGATCAGACCCTGGCATTTGTGTACATGGGATTAATCCTAATTTGAATCAATGAGAGTTATGTCCAAGCTTCTTAAACCCTAATGAGGTATCAAAGCTAAGCCTGAATCAAATACCATACTTTTTTTGAATTTGTAGCAAAACTTACCTAGCATACAAAAAACAGTTAATCCTTTGTGAGATATCGATCTCCGAGTTTGGATGAAAAATCTTGATCTATATACAATTCAAACTTTCAAATTCCAAGATTTGTGATAAGCTGTATCTTAGCAGCATTCTAGCAAAACTGTAGTAGTACCACAGCAATCACCCCAGTAGTATCATAGATATCACTGAAACAGTATGATTATAAAATTGTCAGTACATTTGACATTTACATGAAACCCTAAATTTAGGGATTTTGTTCTCTAGTTCTCCCAATAGACATTTGCATAGTATTCCCTCCAGTGCCTTTTAAAGGAAATCAATTCATCTACACAACTAATGGTTTTAAACTTGATGTTGGCAGAATAGGTTCACTTAACACTCAGCTGTTTAAAATGTCCAATGTATTGTTTGTTTCTCACTTCTTTTTGAGGTGACCATGAATTTCCGATATGTTTGACAGTTAGCTAATCACAATGCTTGTGTTTGCATGATACAAGAAATCTCAAGAAGGAAGTTATTTGGAGAGGTCATAAAGTAGGTCAGCTCATTTACATAGATTAATTTTTGGAGCCTACTAGTTGCATTTCATCAGTTGCATTACTGCCACCTCAGTTGGCATCTCTGGCATAGGTGTGTACGTCATCTTAGTGCTAACAGAAACAAGAATTGTTTTAAGTTGGGATCTATTCCTTCTTCATGTAGTTTTCCTAAGAATTCCAATAATGAATTAGATTGTAGAAAAATGCTAGTTGACTGAACTGTTAGCATTGCATTCCCTGTTTCTCGAAAGTAAAAAGTAAGAATTATTTTGATCTTATTTATTCTGATATGTGAAGCGCTGCTTCTGTTTTATCCGATAGTGGTTCCCAAACGTTATTTTATACATTAACACTTGACTCAAGAAAAAAATATGATGATATTTTTATGGATGATTTCTCTTGTACTATTGGGTATTGAAAAAACAACTTGTTATGTCTGTGATGAGTTTGTTACCTTGAACAAAACAATTCAAACCTAGTTTGAAAGAGAAGATTAAGACTCTAACGATACCCTAGGAGTGAATCTTTATCTAAGAAGTTTCAAGATTTCTTTGCAGTAATACTTGTCTCATCCACCAGTGCACATGTCCACATGCCCCAAAATAAAATGGGATTCCTCGTGCATTACTTCTGCAATCCAATGTTCCTGGTGGTTTGTGAGTAGAAGTTGTTTTGACTGTTGTTTATCTTACCAATAGAATTCCTACAAAGTTCTCAGTAATGTCTCTCCTAGTGAGTGCAGAAATCAGACTATTCCAAGTTGCATGTTTTAGGATGTTTGCCTTGTCACATTGAACAATATTGAAAGGACAAAGCTCAGTGCTCAATCTCTTCAATGTGTTTTTGAGGATATGAAACCACTCAGAAAGGTTATCGTTGCTACGACCGATAAAATGATAATTTAGGTGTTTCCATGCATGTTTCTTTCTTTGAATAGTCTTTTACTCTTAACAATTTTAAGGGTTCCAAACCTCAGGCATTCACTTAATACCTCAATTTTCAGTCTTCCAGACCTTCTGCATCTGGTTCTTCCTCAAAATCCCGCACAATCTGTTCTAGACATAGTAAGTCTCTAATTGTCCATTAGAATATCACAAGTGATGCAGGTTCCAGTAACACTGTCCAACATTTGATTCTGTTGAGATTATTGGGTATTAACATCAGGTACCCATTTTTACTTTAACAATGTTATTCTCAAGTCTGTCAGAGTTTCTATTCCTCCTGTTCATTATGGTTTTAAGTCTACATCTCTGTCATAACATCCAGTTGCTACAAACCTATAAATTTACAAGGATGTAGTAAAACATGACTGTTGGATGCATACTATGGCTGAGGAACTTCCGGCTTCAAACAAAGTGATACTTGTGACATAATCCCTCTTCCACCTAGAAAGAATCTCATTGATACTAATGTGGATTTATAAGGTTAAGACCTTACCAGATGATAGCATCGGCAACTGGTATAAACCTCTTCTTGTGGCTAAAGGAGACACCTTAGAGTATGATTTGGACATCTGCTCCAGTCGCCAAACTTACAACAGTTCATGTTGTTTGATTAGTTGCAGCCAGTGTTTTAAAAAACGCCGAGTCGAACCGGACTCTCCCGGTTCGACTCGGAAATCGTGAAAAGGGGACCGGATCCCCTAAAAAATCGGAAATCGTCCGGTTCTAGAGAGAACCGGACGATTTTGTACAGTGAATCGCCGATTCACTGTACGGAATCGGCGAGTCCGAACAGTGAATCGGCGAGTCCGTACGTT